CAAAAAAAAGCTGGGCATTGTGGTGGGTGCCTGTAGTCCCAGCTACTTGGGAGGCTGAGGCAAGAGAATGGCTTAAGCCCAGGAGCTTGAGACTGTCTCAAAAAAAAACAAAAAAAACAAAAAAAAAAAAGAAAAGAAAAGAGGTATATCCTAAATTTCCAATGAAATAATTAACTTGCAAAGTAAATTTAAGCACCTCGCCAGCAGGGTAGGAAGACTGCTGGCCTCAAATGGCTGGACTGAGTGTCTCCTGTGCGCTCTGACTTAAAAGCAGGCAGTTTGGAGACTGTCCCTCTCACCTCTGCCATGTTGATGAGTCCCACAGCCAAGGTCTTATAGCCCAAGATGGTCCGGTTCTTGTAACGCTTTCTCCTTTGCAACATGATCTGCAGCTTGTTGGCATCTCGCTTAAGGAAATGAGGGTACTATCAAATACAAAATAAAGTATGGTTAATAAGCAAGTGGTGGGTCTTGGTGGGTTCTGGTCCTCCTGAATTTTACATACACTATTTCTGTGCTTCAATTTTTCCTGTCTGTAAAAGGGGGTAGTCAGGGTGTGAGGCTGAAGAAGTGGATGCTATATGCTGTCTGGCTTCCCATCTAAGTTCTGGTGTCCACCCATATTCAGAAGATTGCCTCTTTTCTTGCTATCTGACTAAGCATTTTCTCTGTGCGTTTCAAGTGGGCTACTGGGATTACAATGACAGAGTGATATACCAGGAGAGCTAAGGTGGAGATGGCAATGTGCGTGTGAAATGAGAGTGTGGATTACTAAGGACAGGTGAAGGCCCAAAAGATGGCCAAGAGCTTACCAAAGGCAAGGGAAAGGCTGGCTGGCTAAGGGACTGCTCTGGCCCTCTGGCCTAGCCATAAACCTCTAAGGGACTTTTATTTATTCCCACTCATTTCCATTTTTGGGCAATGGCTGCTCTCAGACAAAATGGACTCTGGGTTTGAGAATTGTTTGGGGCCAGACTGGATGTGGCATATTAGGGCCCTAAGATTCAGCAGAGTCTCACCTGAAGGGAGAAGGTTAGCTGGAGTTCCGTTTCCACCAGTCCACTAGCTGGAAGGATAATCTCATTGGAACGAAGAATCCTTTTAGAACCCTGAAGCCAAGAAAAAAAGGCTGTCAGTTATGTCACCAAAAACAGACCAAAAGAAACACTATGTTTGCAAACAATTTCTAAACTTACTAACATTTTCTTTTCTTTTTTTTTTTTTTTTTAGAGAGAGTCTCACTTTGTTGCCCTCGGTAGAATGCCATGGCTTCAAATCTCACAGTAATCTCAAACTCTTGGGCTCAAGAGATCCTCTTGCCTCAGTTTTCCATTTTTACTAGAGACAGAGTCATGGTATTGCTCAGGCTAGTCCTGAACTCATGGGCTCAAGCAATCTACCCACCTCAGCCTCCCAAGTGCTAGGATTACAGGCATGTACCACAGCACCTGGCTCCTACAAACATTCTTACTGATTCAAACATTTCATCAGTCTCTGCTATACTTATCTGACTAAGCTTCCACGTGAGGTGTGATTTTATATGTATTATGATGTAGGGCTTATAAAGGGTTTTCACAGAATGACCCAGGTGTGTGTGACCCTGGTACTTGGGTCTCTGTCTCTCCCTGATCTAGTTGTACTATCCCTGTGTCAGCTCTTCTGAATCTAAGGCTCCATGCCACAAACACAGCGGCTCTGTGGAAGAGCATGAAAGAGCTGCACAATAAATATTATCACAATATTTGTAAATTGAAATTAAAAATATGTGAGGCTGGGTATGATGGCTAATGCCTGTAATCCTAGCACTCTAGGAGGCTGAGGCGGGTGCATTGCTTGAGCCAGGAGTTCAAGATCAGCCTAAGCAACAGCCAGACAACATTGTAGGAGGATGACTTGAGCCCAAGACTTTGATGTTGCTGTGTGCTATGCTGCCACAGCACTCTACTGAGAGGGATAAAGTGAGACTCTGTCTCAAAAAAAAAAAAAAATCACTGGTTGATGAACAGGATACATATGTACAGGCACTTCAGAAGGCATAGTCACACTTGTGCGTGACACATCTATGCAGAATGACACGAACACAGTGTGTACAGCTCACTGTTTGGGTGGGAGTTGGTCCAACAGGAGTAAACCTAGGGTTAGATTGAGGGGGGCGAGCACGAATGGTGCACCTGCTCCTAGTCACAGGCTGCATTACTAAACTCAGAAAATTTCTGCGGAAGTAATCACAGTATAATGAAAACAAATCCAGCCCTAAAAAAATAAAGGTGGGTTAAACTATTTTTAAGCTGCAAATAAGAATAGCAGGAGAGCCTGAGAATGTCAGTAAATATGTATCAAGTACTTTTTAAAAATTGAGGTTTAATTTAAATACAGTGCAGTAACCAGGCACAGTGGCTCACACCTGTAATCCTAGCACACTCTAAAAGAGGCTGAGGTGGGTGGATTGCTTGAGACAGGAGTTCAAGACCAGCCTGAGCAACAGCCAGACAATGTCTCTACTAAAAATAGAAAAAGTAGCCAGGTATTGTGGTGGGCATCTTAGTCCCAGCTACTAGGCAGGGTGAGGCAAGAGGATCCCTTGAGCCCAAGATTTTGAGGTTACTGTGAACTATGACACCACAGAGCTCTACTGAGGGCAACAAAGTGAGGCTTGTTTCACACACACACACACACACACACACACAAAAGCACTGGGTGCCTGGGGAAGCACCCTGGTGGTCCTCCCAGGTAAGCATTGTCCTCATTTCTGTCCCTGCAGATTACAGTTGCCTGCTCTGAAGTCCCACATACTCAGCCTCACGCAGCAGGTGCTGTTCTGTCAGCTTCTTTTGCTCAACTTAACTGTCTGAGGCTCACAGAGGTTGTTGTGTTTATTAACAGTTAGCTCCCTTTTACTTCTGAGTAGGCCTCTATTCTATGAATCTGCAGGTGGAGGACTCCTAATCTGGAAATTGGAAATGTTCCAAATTTAAAACTGATTGTCGACATGAAGCTGAAAGTGGAAAATTTCGCACCTGACCTTGTCTGACAGGTTGCAGTCAAAATTGTTTCATATACAAAATTATTAAACATATTGAACAAAATTAGGTCATGTACGTAAGGTATATGTAAAACATAAATGAATTTCATGTTTAGACTTGGGTCATACCCCCCAAATATCTCACTATTCATATGCAAACACTCTAATATCTCAAAAAATCTGAAATCTAAAACACTTTTGGTCTTAAGGATTTCAAATAAGGAACCCTAAATCTGTACCACACACACTTTTTAGGGGGGGGTCTCACTCTTGCTTAGGCTGGTCTTGAACTCCTGAACTCAACTGATCCTCCTGCCTTTGGCTTTTAGAGTGCTGAGATTGCAGGAGTGAGCCACTGCACCTGGTCTGTATCACAATTTAAAAACCCATCCTCCTGTTGCTGAGTGTTTACATCGGATCATTTTTAGTTTTGGGTTATTATGGCTAAAGCTACTACTATTCTTGTGCAAGTCTATGCAAACACATGTTTTGCTTTTTTCTACCTAGGAGTAAAACTGCTGGGTCTTTGGGCAGATGCCTCTCTGATTTCCAAAGCCTTGGTCCCGGTTCATAGCCCAGAAGCAGTGTGAGGTCTAGTTGCTCCACATACACACACATTTGGGGCGGTGAGTCCTTGATTCACAGATTCTAATGGATACATGGAGAATATCACCTCAATTACAATTTGCATTTCCTTTTCCCCTCCCCCCAAGACAGGGTTTTGTTTTATTGCCAGTCATCATAGCTCACAGCAACCTCAACTCCTAGGCTCAAGTATGTTCCTGCCTCAGCCTCCCAAGTAGCTGGGAGTACAGGCATACCCCACCATGTCAGGTTGATTTTTCTGTTTTTCTTGGTAGTGATGAGGTCACACTCTTGCTCAGGCTGGTCTCGAATTCCTGAGCTCAAATGATCCTCCTGCCTTGGCCTCCCAGAGTGCTAGGATCACAGGCATGAGCCACCGTGCCTGGCTTCGTTTCTTGATTTTAGTTCCTGCCTGCCTCATTGTTCCTCTCCCAGCCCTACTCTAAAAGAGCATAAATCTTTGTGATTTTAACATCTGCCCTTTCTAACATCTTGGCCTCCAGGTCCCCTACTTCCTTTCTTCCTCACATTCATCTCAGCCACTCACCCACGTCATTCGGAACTCACCAATGCTGATCATTACCAGCAATGCCTACTCTCAATTTCATGCACCCTCTCCCTGGTCCTTCTAGAGTTCATCAACAGTGATGATCCTTCAAGCCCCCAGGGCCTGCAATCTCCAGCTGCCATCACTGTCCCCCGCAGCCCTGCTGCCCTTTTCCCTCACACTGGCTTCAGTATCCTGCTTGTGCTGTTCATCTCACTCATAAATTACAACCTAACTCCAGCTGCACCCGCTGGTCATGCCCAGAGAGAAACGTCCTTAGGCTAGCCAGTCTGACTTTAAATTCATGCCCCATCTCAAGCAGACCCCTTGCGCTGCCTGGTAATCATACTAGATCCTCTCAAGTGTCCTCACCTTCCCACCCAACTAGCAGATGACAGTTTTATACCTTCCCTCAGATCTCCAAAACCTCACACTCCTTTTCCTCATGCTCACAGCCCTGGTCCTGTTCCATGAGAAAGCTGAAGCAACTCCCTTGTGGACCTATGCTGGTGCCTCCTCATTCCTGCTCTTCCTGCTGGCTATGCACCTGGGTGTCCCTGCACCCAGCCAGTCAGTGTTCTAATTGGCACCTACTCAAGACACTGTTGCAACCATTCTTTCCACCCACATAATCAACTTTCCTCTCGAACCTGGATCATTGCCCATTAGGAAGATGTTATTTCTCTCTTTTTTTTCTTTTTTGGGATAGAGTCTTACTGTGTCACCCCGGTAGAGTGCTGTGGTGTCACAGCTCACAGCAACCTCAAACTCTTGGGCTTAAGCGTTTCTCTTGCCTCAGCCTCCTGAGAAGCTGGGACTACAGGTGGCTGCCACAACGCCTGGCTTTTTGGTTGCAGTTGTCATTGTTTAGCAGGCCTGGGCTGGGCTTGAATCCGCCAGCGACAGTGTATGTGGCCAGCACCCTACTCACTGAGCTACAAGTGCCAAGTCCATTTCTCTCATCTTAAAAAATAAAAATCCTCCCCTGGCCAGATGCAGATGCTCATGCCTTTAATTCTAGTGCTCTGGGAGGCTGAGGTGGGAGAAGACCACAGGATTGGCAGAGATAACCAGGCCTTTGCACTCTTGGTTATCTCTGCCAATCGTGTGGTCTGTGGTATTCTGAGGACTCCCCAAATTATGTCTCTCCTTAGACTTTTCTGGATGCGAAACATTTCCTCTTGGGTGTTTAACAGACATTTTGAACAGAATATGAGGAACTGAATTCTGGATCTTTCCTCCAGATCTGCTTCACTCACATATTCCTAGCCACCAAACGGCAATTCACTCTACTGGCACCACTTTCATCTCCTGCTTGGTCATTGCCAGGGCCTATTAACTGTCCTCCAGATTCCTCTTCTCTAAGCCAACAGCCAAAGTATCTTCTCAATTCTCTCTTCAAAACTCCAATTTAGGGGCTGGGTGCAGTGGCTTACGCCTGTAATCCCAGCACTCCAGTAGGCTGACGTGCATGGATTGCCTGAGCTTGTGAGTTTGAGACCAGCCTGAGCTAGAGTAAGACCCCTGTCTCTAAAAATAGCCAGGCGTGGCGGGTATCTGTAATCCCAGCTACTTGGGAGGCTAGGGCAAGAGAATTGCTTGAGCCCAAGAGTTTGAGGTTGCTGTGAGCTATGATGCCATAGCACTCTACTGAGGGTGACAAAGTAAGATTGTCTCAAAATAAAAAAAAAGAAAAAAAGAAAAAATTAGGTTATTGGGTTTTAAATGCTTCTTAAAAGTTCTAGGTATAGGCTCGGCGCCTATGGCTCAACCGGCTAAGGCGCCAGCCACGTACACCTAAGGTGGCGGGTTCGAATCCCCAGCCCGGACCCGCCAAACAACAATGAC